AAAAAAAAAAAAAAAAAAAAAAAAAAAGGAATTAGTGTCTTACAGATACCAGCAGAATCCAATGACAGAGGAAGTGGCCCACACAAATGGAAGGGTACTGCACCTATTGAAAACTTAAGATATCCAACCTATACTGTTCTGTAAATTCTGGGGTCCAGGACTGGGACACCACCTTGCATATTTTAAGAAAGAACACCTTCACTGTCTTGGCCCAAGAGAGAGACAATGATCTTGTGCAATGAGCTTTGAAAGAGACTGCTACTTCCTTGCCTCTCCTGATGCATATCTCTATCATAAATTCCTTAATCCAGACTGGTAAAGTAGACTTCAAAGCTATTTGTCCCTCTTGTGACATCCATGTGTCACAAAAAGCATTTCCAATTGCCTGAAGGTAGCTGCTCTATTGTAAGGAATCCTGAGAAGCAATCCTTTTAAAAATTAAAAATAAGTTGCAAAAATAAGGGAATTTGAAGTTTAGAGCTTCTAGTCATAATCATGCATATACAATTTGGATGGAGAAAATGCATATTATAAATCTGAAAAGAATAGAATATTTGAGGTTACTGTCAGAAGAGGATGGAGCCAGCAAGGGATGAAGTTGCCCCATGCAAGACCTCTACTCTTAATGAGCTGATCCCCAAAATTCTTATCCAGAGAATCGCCTGAATTTCTTCTGATGTGAAATAATCACTGCACACACAACAAAAGGTTTCCAACATATGTTGGAGAGGTGGTTCCTTTCTTGTAGTACATTATAGTACTAGTAGTATTGTAGTAGTTTCACCCAGTCCAATTAACCATTTTTTCTTGAGTATGGGGAGATCAATACTAAACAGTAAATCTGAAGTACAATGCATTTTTACTGAGTATCAGACTTAACAGATTTTCTGACACTGGTAGTTTGAATTAATGGAAGAATAAATAGTATAATTAGAAGAAATTAACAATGGAGCTAGGAGGACAGGAAGAAAAGGAAAAGTAAGAGATGGAGAGAAAAAAAATAGCTATAGATTAGGAAATTTTATGCATTCATGATCTTAGATTTTAAAGTATTTCTTTCACAGGAATCCCACAGATCCATAAAACCGCAGAACGGTGTTACTGTGTAAGGCAGAGGAGAGATTAGAATTGTTTTTTCTTTGTTTTAAATTACATGACACAGATCAAGTTCTAATTTGGAAAAAGGGAAAGAGTTCAAATAATTAAAATTAAATTAAGGGGATGCAGGGCCCAAATGTGCAGGATGCCCAGTGCCCTCACTTCCTTTGGACCACAGTGGGTATTTAGAGCACTCCCTATTACACAGGATCAATCATTCAGAGAGGGAAACCAAGTAGTAACTGTTGAATGCATACATACACATACCATGTATGGGAGCATTACTTCCTTGCTCAGAAAACCTCCTTAGGTGATCAACAGACCCAGTACATTTTTTCTTATCTTGGGAAACAAATTATAAATAATGTATTTTGTGTCAGGATAGTCAAAATCAGCTGACACGCTACTGTTATCAGTTTCTGACCAAACTCTTCAGTAGTTTTAGGCATACAGAGTTGCAGGCCTTTGCTCATGAAATTAATTTCCTCTGTTTGCTAATATTTGACAAATTTCAGGTTACAGCATAAGATATATATCTGAAGACAGGAGGTTGTTTTAATCATATGCCAGTGAAGCAAATATATCCATTTCATGCAGGCACTTTTTGAATTTTAACTGTATGTTTTTAATTCTGAGTTGCCCATGTGCTATAGCTATTATGTCATTTTTCCACATTTCAGAAGCAATCTCTCTTTGTCAAGCGCTTTGTTTTCCCAATTAATTTGTGCAAACTTTAGTTCTAAAACTTACCATTTAATAATGTTTCTGGTGAGACTTAACCCTGTTTTGACAGACGTTATGCATTTTTTGAATATGAGGGCATTCAAACCCGGCACTTCCCTGGGACCCGTTGCTGGCTACTTTTCAAATTATGTCCTTAAACTAATATCTAGTAGAGGTACTTTTTATTTTGATAGAATACATTCTCTTTATATTTTATTCCATTTTGGTTTCACTGGATGACAAAAAGGTAAACTATTCTATTTCTGTCATTAAATGTGAAGACAATAAAAAAGGACTTAAAGCAATCTTCCTGGAAAACTAAAGCTGTTCATATGTTCTATATTTCTCACAACCATAACATAACTTTGCAGTGCCCTCTACTGTGCATCTCAGCAACTTCTTTTGATACCATGAACCAGAGATAAACATGTCCACGAAAACAAAGGAAGCCACCGCAGGTCAGAAGCAAGCAGCAAATTTGAAAATGCTGTGGAAATAAATAAATACACAAATTTGTGTGCCTGCAGTCAGACAATCTGTGCTTGGGATTAAGTTTTCTTTCATATCTCATTGCTTCCTCTCCTCCAATGATCCAAGAACTGTTAGCCAAAACTGGAGAAACCAAGTGATACAATCTTGATACAGATTTGGGGGGAAATGGATTTTTTTTAAAGGATCCCTTTACCGCTATAAGAAGAACAGGAGGACTTGTGGCACCTTAGAGACTAACAATTTTATAAGAGCATAAGTTTTCGTGGACTACAGCCCACTTTTTCAGCTTTTGCTTTAAAAATTTTTTTTGTCTCTAAGGTGCCACAAGTCCTCCTGTTCTTCTTTTTGCGGATACAGACTAACACGGCTGCTACTCTGAAACTTTACCGCTATGTTGTCTATTGAGGCTGTAAACTCTCAGGCATTAAGTAATAACAATAATAAGGATAACAAAAGCTATTCTATAACTATCCCCTAGCCTCAGATAAAATTTCCAAAGTCACAACCAAAAGTCTGTGCTTAAACTGTATATGGGACAATTTGTGTTCTTCTGACTTAACCAAATGCTTGAAGATGAGAAGAAAGCAAGTAAGATGCAGGCATATGAGTTGAAACAGGTAGATTCTACCAAGAGCATCTAGTCATACATAAGGCTATGATTTAATCATGGGTATTTTTAGTAAAAGTCATGGGCAGGCCATGGGCAATAAACGAAAATTTACAGCCCGTGACCTGTCCAGGACTTTTACTAAAAATACCCATGACTAAATCTTGGGGGGGGGGGCCTGCTAGGGGAGGATGTTGGGGGGGGGGCTGCCGCTGCTGGGGGCGGGGTGCCCAGGGCCAGCAACATCAGCTGCCAGGGATGGCCCGAGCAGTGGCTGCTCCAGCCACCTGCCCAGAGACTGCTGCCGGGGCCTCCCAACCAGCGGTTGGTGTGGCTGTCCCTCGGGCCATTCCAGCAGTGGCTGGTGTGGCTGTCCCAGGGCCACCTGAGCAGCTGGCCCTAGAGTCAGCTGCTTGGGCGACCCTGGGTCAGACACACGGGCTGCCTGCAGAAGTCACGGAGGTCACAGAATCAGTGACTTCCGCGACATCCATGAGAGACGGATCCCTAATCATACAGCACAAAAATGGTGTCTTGCTCACAAGAGCAAAGCCATCCACCAGTATTTTCACTTACAAGGCAACACCTATAAACTCCACCTACACCCCAAAACAATCTAAGCATATTATTTCTAAAAATAAAATATATTTAACTCCAAAAAATCTGATTCTACTATTTCTCCTGAGTTTGGACAGGCTTAGTGTGGAGGGATACAGGAGGGGCTGAGACGGTTCTGTGTGGTGCAATATGGGTGTGGGCGGCTCTGCAGAGGGGCTCGTTGTGGCGGTTTGGATGTAGAGGGAATGGGATCCAGGTCAAATGGTTGGGGCTCAACAAGGGGAGGTCTGGGTGTGGAGGAATGGGGCTCAGCAGCGGGTCTTGGTGTGGGGGGATTGATGGGGTGAGAGTCTGGGTACATCTGGTTGGGGCTCAGTGGGGTGGGGACCCGAGTGTGGGGAGTCTGACGGAGTGGTCCAAGTGCAGGGGGGGGCTCATCAGAGTGGGAGTTTGCATGTGGGGGGGGGTCTCAGCCAGGGTGTGGTCTGGATGGAGGGGTGGGGGTCCAGATCCAGGGGGGAGGGTCTCAGGAGGGAGTCTGGGTTCAGGGGGCTCAGTGGGGGGATTCTGGGTGTGGGGGGTGAGGCTCAGTGGGGGGCCAGGTATGGGGAGTCTGGATACCTAGGGGGTTGGGCAGATGGGAGAGCAGCTCTTTCCCTGCAGCTGAGGAGTGATGGGGGCAGGGGTGGGGAGGGTGCAGAGCTTCCTGCAGCTGGGTGGGTTTCTGGGAATAGGTCCGGCCTGCTCCTTGTAAGGGAAGAGGAAGTCATGTCCTCCCCTGCCTTCAGCCCATCTGGGACTAGTAGCTGAGCCCGGCAAAGAGTAAGAGCAACCGGCCAGGGCATCCTCAGGCCCACCCCCCACCATGCAGTGATTTACCTCTCCACTGGCTGCTCCGGATGCCCGAAAAGACACACCCAGGCTGCTGGGGAGGGGTACATGATCACTCTTGAAGCTTCCCTTTGCTTCCCTGTCAGAAGTCAGTTTTCTGAGAGGAAGTCAAGAAATCTGCAGGGGACATGAATTCTGCATGTGTGCAGTGGCACAGAATTCTCCCAAGAGTAATTTTAGTATCAGAAGACCCAACACCTAATATTAACAGAAACTCTGTCCAAGGGGCTGTCATGTTCTGGGGTGCAATCCAGGGCAGTGAGGGGTTATGTCACTGCTTGCCCTGTAACCGTGAGTGACTCAAAATGCTCTGCTGCTGGAGCTCCCTCATCTGGAGGCTTCCAACCAGCAAACATGCATGCACTGAGTTTGTGTATGTTAAGCAGCCCTGGTTCAGCACTCTGATTCCAGCAGCCTCCTTGTTATACTACTGCCACACTCTTTGTTGTGAAAGAACTCCTTGAGACGAACTAGAAGAATTCTGCTGCTAACTCCTTCACATGTTAGTGGATTCTGGATGAGAGCTTTGCACTAGCAAAAGTAAAAATTACTCTTCCTAAAAGTAATGGGGACAAAGCTGATTTTGTTGTTGTCTGACAAGATAAAAAAATATAGAGTACAAATTTAGGTAAAGTTACCTTAGTAAAGTTACCATAGACTCACCAACATGTCCATACACTTACACCAAAACTAAATAATTTGAGAGAATATTTAAATTCCAATTATATCAATTATTTTGAAGAAGAATGCAAGAAAATGTAGCTAATCAGTAACTAAAAAAATATTTTTCTTATGTACATCTCCATCAATGCTAGGTATCCTATATAACGTAATACCCCCAAAATACATGAACATAAAAGTTAATGTTAAGTATGTTACTATGTAACATTAAATTGTTAAATTATATTTAAAAAAATAAGGCTACAGATTTAAAGAGAGCTACTCCTATAAAAATATCAACTCTACCTGAATATCCCATGAGAGGAGTCCTGCTTCTACAACCTGATCTACTAGAAGAGAGGGGTGTTTTTCCTATCCAGGCACTATTTAGACCTCTTGCAGAAGAAGAGCTTGTAAAATTCATTGTGCTAACATTTTCTGCATACGAACTCTTGTCCCCAAAGTATGAATCTATGAAAAAAAGTCAGAGCATCTCTTGAAAAGATAATGCATAGATCACTTTGCTATTTAAGTCACACAAACTCCATAAAATAAAATTAACACAATCAGACATGAATTGTTTTGTTTGAAAAGCAATACAAATAAGGAAAAATAGTTAAAAGACTGTTAAGACATCTTAATGGAGAAAGGTTAATATATACAGTCACAGAACCCAGGGAGTTTGCTGAATTGATATTAATATTTATATAATCCAAGTATAAAAAGAGAAAAAGTAAACTTCAGTAGGATGCTATTTTGGAAACCAACTCATATTGATATGGTAATTTCTCCTTAATGTCATTACTTTATACTGACAGCAAATTCCCTGCTTAGGATGTTATACTAATATTATGTGATAAAAAGCCAGATACAATGCATAATTTCATATTTGAGGGATTTCTGGGCCTATAAAAGGGGCTGCTCTATTTGTCAGATTTTCTACCTTCAGTTGCCCGTCTATTTCAATAATAATATCTGAAGTTGCACAAAGTGCTTGTGAAAATTCCCAAGTCTGAAAAGGGTCATAAAAAGAATGTATTTGCCTAATACTGAACACACATTTTAAAGGGTAATAAAAACGAAGAGAAAGAACCATATTCAAAAACTCATTCAGTTAAATTATCTTCTTCTGCCTATATGGTTCAACTCAAAGTCATATAATTTAAAATTTAAGAACTGGTGGGCTTCCGGAATTTCTATTTTACTGATGAATTTTAAGATGGATCTGCACTGTAAATTCTAAGATGGTGCATTTACCTCAGAATCTGCTCTCATTTTAGTATACTAGAAACACTACAACAGCACAGATGCAGCGTAGACACTTACTACAACAAGAAAGGGGTTCTTTGGTTGCTATAGTAAATCCACCGCTCCAAGATAATTCTTTCATCGACCTAGCAAAGTCAACACCAGGGCTTAGTTCAGTTTAACCACATCACACGGGGCGTAAAATTTTTCACAGCTCAAAGTGATGTGTCACTTTGTAACAAAGAGCAGGCCATCTGTGTTTAAGATCTTTAGCTGATTTTAAATCTGTTCTCTTGAGATAAATGCACCAACGTATAGGAAAGTAAAGAATCATCTGAAATTAGATTTACATTTTTTGATCCATCTTGTGTTAAATAAAGCAAGAATATGTTTTGTCATATCCGAAGACCACATTAAATGTAAAAAAAAAAAAAAAAGCATTAACATAACAAGGTCTGTAAAAAAAACCACGGTTGTATCCTATGATATTTTATGAAAATATGGTACATTGGTCTATAATACATTGCACTTAGAAACTGCTAAATGCCTAATGGATTTCTTGAAATTATCTCCAGATGGTTGGCACAAAAATACACAGTTTACACCACCACATTTATGTAATAGAAATCTTGATCACAAAATACTATGACTGAAATACCATTAAAGGACTTGACCTTCACTAGTCCTTACTCCCTGGAATAACCCATAATATTTCCTATAAACAGTTGTTCCTGCAGTATACCAATTGTTGTACAGTGGCAATTGATTTTTTAAATGGCACCCACAATATTACTCATACAAGCTAGGGCTGAAGTAACAGTTTAAAAAACATAACACTTACCCCCTGCAGTATGTTAGTTATTTTCCTAATAATAAAATGGAGACCACCTGCTGAGGGGAAGATGGCCAGCTAAGTCCCAGTGGCAAAAGCCTGAAGTACCTCTCTACGCTCTTTAATCATTTCCATTAAATAATCTTTGACCCTAATGTCCTAATCTATTAACATAATCCTGCACATTGAAGCAAGGGGAAGTTTAGACAACACTACAGCAAATTGTGTCATGGGCTCCTACACCTCCACACAAGCCAGCACAACATTCCCATTCCACATACAAGAAAACAGGTAAGGTATCTCAAACAGATATTAGCTAAATGTTGACTTTTTAATGATACTCAATGTATATATATCAGCTCTAGTGCTTTGAACTTTGGCCACTGGTACTTGGCTGGCCATGCACCTCCCATTTAATGGTATATACCAGGGGTAGGCAACCTATGACACATGTGCCAAAGGCGGCGCACGAGCTGATTTGCAGTGAAACTCACACTGCCCGGGTCCTGGCCACCAGTCCAGGGGGGTTGGGGGGGGGCTCTGCATTTTAATTTAATTTTAAATGAAGCTTCTTAAACATTTTAAAAACCTTATTTACTTTACATACAACAATAGTTTAGTTATATATTATAGACTTATAGAAAGAGATCTTCTAAAAATGTTAAAATGTATTACTGGCACGCAAAACCTTAAATAATGAATAATGAGTGAATAAATGACGACTCGGCACACCACTTCTGAAAGGTTGCCGACCCCGGTATACACCATAACCCTCCTCCCTACCTGTGCTGAAACCAGGGCCCTGTCCCTGCTGAACACCTGCAAGCTGCCACATATTCAACTGTCAGTACTCTAACCCACAATACAGCTTGTGTGGCTCTACGTCCAAACCCATTTTGTGTGCTCTTGTATGCTCCAGAATATGGAGTACTCCAAGCTTTACTATGTGCTAGAGGTTATACTAAATGAGAGTAATTATTTGTGATGGGTGGGGGCTCAGCACAGATGCTGGGCTCCACCTTATTCAGCCTCAAGGACCAAAACCTGTACCATTGAAGCCAATGGGAGTTTTATCATAGCTTTTATGGCCCTGTCCTGATGGCCAAAAAGAGTATAGTTTTCAATTGCATTAGTGGGAAGTAGCTTAACACAACTGCAATATTATTAGAGCTGTCAATTAATTGCAGTTAACTCATGTGATTAACTCAAAAAAATTAATTGCGGTTAATACAATTAATTGCGATTAATAGCCGTTTTAATCGCAAACAATAGAATATCAATTGAAATTTATGAAATATTTTGGATGTTTTTTCATATACAGTGTATTCTGTGTTGTAACTGAAATCAAAGTGTATATTTTTGATTATAAATATTTGCACTGTAAAAATGATAAACAAAAGAAGTATTTTTCAGTTCACTTCACACAAGTATTGCAGTCCAATCTCTGTCGTGATTTACAAATGTAGATTTTTTTTTGTTACATAACTGCACTCAAAAACAAAACAATGTAAAACATCAGAACCTACAAGTTCACTCAGTCCTACTTCTTTTTCAGCCAATCACTAAGAGACAAGCAAGCTTGTTTATATTTACAGCAGATAATACTGCCCTCTTCTTATTTACAATGTCACCAGAAATTGAGAACAGGCATTTGCTTGGCAGTTTTGTAGCCAGCATTGCAAAGTATTTGTGTGCCAGATATTCTAAACAAAAGTCTTAAAAGAGCAACACACTAAGCAGAAACAACAGAACCCGAACCAGCAAAAGAGAATAACAACCTTATCCTGGTGGCATCTGACTCAGATAATGAAAACGAACATGCATCGGTCTGTAATGCTTTGGATTGTTATCGAGCAGAACCTGTCATGAGCATGGACCCATGTCCCCTGGAATGGTGGCTGAAGCATGAAGGACCACATGACTCTTTAGTGCATCTGGCATGTAAATATCATGCAATGCCCGGCTACAACAATGCCATGCGAACACCTGTTCTCACTTTCAGGTGACACTTTAACAAGAAGCGGGCAGCATTATCTCCTGCAAATGTAAACAAACTTGTTTGTCTGAGCGATTGGCTGAACAAGAAATACGACTGAGTGGACTTGCAGCCTCTAAAATTTTACATTGTTTTATTTTTGAATTCAGTTTTTTTTTTTACATAATTCTACATTTGTAGCTTTCATGACAAAGCGATTGCACTACAGTATTTGTATTAGGTGAATTGAAAAATATTTTTATTTTGTTTTTTTACAGTGCAAATACTAGTAATCAAAAATAAATATAAAGTGAGCACTGTACACTTTGTATTCTGTATTGTAATTGAAATCAATATATTTTAAAATGTAGAAAACATCCAAAAATATTTCAATAAACAGAATTGTATTAATGTTTAACAGTGCGATTAATAACAATTAATTTTATTGCACAATTAATCATGATTAATTTTTTTAATCCCTTGACAGCCCTAAAAATTGTTAGACTACATTTTTAAAAACGTTAAAAGGTCTTTTCAATCATGTTAGATTTATTGAGCTAATACAACTGAAAACCACACCTTTTTGACCCATCAAGGTAGGGCTTGTGGAAACAGGATCTAAGGGCTTATCTACATAAAACTGTACCATTTTTACTATACTGGCATAGTCAAAATAGTACCACCATCCCTAGTGTGGATATAGATACACTGGTATAAAATGTGCTTCTCTAGGAGAATGGGACTAAGCTCTACTGACATAACAGTATACTTTATGTCCACAACTTAGAGGTTGTGCAAGTGTAACTATTTTGATTAAAAAATTACACCTCTAACTAAAATAGTTATACCAGTACAAAAAGCATGCATAGACCTAGGGTGACCAGATGTCCCGATTTTATAGGGACAGTCCCAATATTTGGGGCTTTTTCTTATATAAGCTCCTATTACCCCCCATCCCGATTTTTCACACTCGCTGTCTGGTCACCTTACATAGATCAGACCCTTAAAATAACGAGGCTACTTCCTGCAAGGAACGAGGTTTTATTGGCTCAGCTGAGGACTTGACCTGATACCGTTAACTCCGTCTTACCCCAACCATTTTAGGTATTTAAAAGTAAACTAAAGCAAATTTTAAAAATGTGGAGGAATTTTTGAGGGGTTTAGAGAGCAAATTTTTTTTCTTCTATGTTTATTTTAACATTAGCAATATCACATCTCCCCACTTTCTTCTCATGACGGGAGATCTGAGTATTGCTGCCATAGGAGACTTTAATTTGAGCTGCAGTTCCAACTCCATCAAAAGGAGAAGAGCATCCTCCTTACACAAACAACAAGGAGTCTGGTGGCACCTTAAAGACTAACAGATTTATTTGGGCATAAGCTTTCGTGGGTAAAAAACCTCACTTCTTCAGATGCAAGTGAGGTTTTTACCCATGAAAGCTTATGCCCAAAAAAATCTGTTAGTCTTTAAGGTGCCTGTGCCACCAGACTCCTTGTTGTTTTTGTAGATACAGACTAACAGGGCTACCCCCTGATACTTGATACCCTCCTTACACAGCATCTAACTGCTCAGGCCAATGGGACAGAGATGTTTCAGGGACGGGATACACGTGGATGCAGGAAGCTGTTCAACACTGATCCCTTGGGGTTGCAGATTCCTGTTTCCCCTTCCCAGGAGCAGCAGTTGGCCTGGGCGGGTTGGTGGCCCAGGGAGGGCACGGCGGGAGGACGGGCCTATCTCCATCTAGGGCGCTAGGCTGCTCAGACGCCCCGTACAGAGGGCCGGCAGCTCAGGGAGGGCGTGTCTGGGTGGGCCAGCCCCACTGCTCCCACCTCCTGCTGCCGCAGAGAACAGCTGCGGCCCCGGCCCCGGGGGGACGACCCTGCCGAGGGAGTCTGCCTCTCGCTGGGGGCCGCCGGCGCTGCCCGCCGTACTCAGCGGGGTTTGCAGCAGCCCGAAGTGGTAACGGGGCAGGTGCTCCGTCCCGGACGAGGACGAACAGCGGCCAGAATAGGAGGCAGAGGCCTCCTCCTCCCGCGCTGCCGGCCTCCTCTCGTCGCTTCCCCGTAACATCTCCCTCAGCGCAGGCACCAGAGGCCACACACAAAATGGCGGCACCGGCGACGACATGAAACCCGCGCATGCGCAAACGGGAAAAGACGCCCGCCGCCGCAATCCAGTATACCATGGCCGCCTGGAAGCCATTTTGTTTTGGGAATCATAAGAGCCCTGCCGCGTGTTACGCGGCTGGCCCTTTAAATCCCCGACATGCGAGTGGGCATACAAAGCAACTGCTGCTGCACAGTGGGTTTGGTCCCCGTCTGCCCGAGCAGACAAGATATAAAAGCCCCTTGGGGAGGCGCCCTGGAGCTTCCCCTTGTCCCACACGCTGCTCCTAGCCCAGGCCCTCCTGTGATCCGGTCAACGTTCACAAGCCCCTTGCTCCGCTGCGCTACCCATATACCCTACGCCACCCCCACCCCCCATTCCTCTTCCCCTGCACAGCTGTTTTCTCCAGGGGCTTCCACTCACCCCATCTTCCTGAAGATTTCCTCTACCCCAGGTGTTCCTGCCCTTCCCCTTCATTTAGCAAAGATAAGGTTGAGGGTGACTTGATCACAGGCTACACCTATCTACATGGAGAACAGCTATTTAATAAGGGGCTCTTCAGTCTAGGGTTCAGTGGGGTTATAGTGAAGATACCCAAGAAAGGAACTCTCAGTGATTGGAATAACTGGTGTGGTATCACACTTTCATCTGTGCCAAGCAAGGTATTGTGTAAAATCATAGTCCAGCATATATATCAGAGGTAGTTGGCAGCATTCTCAGAAAAGAGCAAGCTGGTTTTTGGAAAGGGCGTGGATGTACAGACCAGATGTTCACTCTATGAAACGTAACTGAACAAAGGTTCAGAGAAGGGCAACTAAAGTGATTGGGGTTTGGAACGGGTCCCATATGAGGACAGATTAAAGAGACTAGGACTTTTCAGCTTGGAAAAGAGGAGACTATGGGGGGGATATGATGATAGAGGTATATAAAATCATGAGTGGTGTGGAGAAAGTGAATAAGGAAAAGTTATTTACTTGTTCCCATAATATAAGAACTAGGGACCACCAAATGAAATTAATGGGCAGCAGGTTTAAAACAAATAAAAGGAAGTTCTTCTTCACAGAGTGCACAGTCAACCTGTGGAACTCCTTGCGTGAGGAGGTTGTGAAGGCTAGGACTATAACTGGGTTTAAAAGAGAACTAGGTAAATTCATGGAGGTTAAGTCCATTAATGGCTATTAGCCAGGATGGGTAAGGTATGGTGTCCCTAGCCTCTGTCAGAGGGTGGAGATGGATGGCAGGAGAGAGATCACTTGATCATTACCTGTTAGGTTCGCTCCCTCTGGGGCACCTGGCATTGGCCACTGTCGGTAGACAGGATATTGGGCTGGATGGACCTTTGGTCTGACCGAGGATGGCCATTCTTATGTTCTTATGCTTAGAATGGCAACAGCAGCTCTACATAAAATTCATAGACTTTGAGAAGGCTTTTGATAGCATTCACAGGACCAGCCTATGGCGCATTCTGCGGCCATATGGAAACCCTCTTTGTATAATCAACATCAAAAGCTTCTATTCCAACTTTATATGCAGTGTTGATTACAGTGAGCTCAGTTTTGAAGTCAAAGCAGGAATACATCAGGGGTGTGTCATGTCTGCAATCCTCTTCAACATTGCCATCGACTGGATAATGCTGCGTACAACAGAAGACATGCCAAGAGGCATTAAGTGGGCACCCTTCTCATCCCTTGAAGACCTGGACTTCACAGATGATCTCGCTCTCCTATCACATACCCAACACCATATACAAGAAAAAACAACTTGACTCAACACATTCAACCAGCAAATTGGACTGAAAATCAACCACAATAAGACAGATATTATGACCTTTAATATTGCCTCACCATCACCAGTATGGATTAGAGGATCATGTTTTCACCATTGATGAAACATTCACATACTTGTGTAGCACCATCAGCCAGGACAGTGGAACAAGCCAGGACATCCAAAACAGAATCAATAAAGCCAGGATCACCCTCAGGAACTTAAATACAGTCTGGAAATCATCAAAATACAACACTAAAACCAAACTCAAGATTTATCAGATTTATACATTATAGTGCAGAATTCTGGGGAATGAGAAAGTATGACATGTCCAAACGGTCTTCATTCCATACAACCTGCCTCAGAAAAATCCTCCGTATCTTTTGGCCCAGAACAATCTCAAACCAAGATCTATTCACACAGTGCAGCCAAGAAGATATGAGCACCATCATTGCCAGGAGATGGATTGGCCATGTGCTTTGAATGGAAACTGATCCCAACACCAGAATAGCAATAAGATGGACACCTGAAGGCAAGTGAAAACGAGGCAGCCCGAAAACAATGTGGCAAAGAGCTGTGGAAGCTGAGCTGAAAAACCTGGGGCACAGCTGAGGACCCATTGAAAGACTTGCCAGAAACAGACAGGAGTGGAGGAGCTTCATCGCTGCCCTAAATGCTGGAGGCATAATGGGAACATGGTGATGATGATCTTCAATCTAACTGACAAAGATATAACACCATCCAATGGCTGGAAGTTAGACAAAATTGGACTGGACATAAGGTGCATTCAAATTGTTGACAGTGAGAGTAATTAACCATTGTAACGATTTACCAAGGGTCATGGTGAGTATCCATCAATGACCATTTTAAAATTAAGACTAGATGTTTTTGTGAAACGTACACTCTAGGAGTTATTTTTGAGATGTTCTATGGTCTGTGCTATACTGGAGGTTAGACTAGATGATCACAATAGCCCCTTCTGGCCTTAGACTCTGTGAATCCCTGGCCATTACAGACCAGGTCTTCTTTATTCCTCCCCTGCTGCCACAGCCCCCTTCTTCCATGCCCTCAGTGGCCCCAGGCTTCACTGTTGGGTCTTCAAGGAGGCAAATGGCCTTTTCCCCTCAGCAGGCTTCTGGGGTCTACCAGCTGGCCAGCTCCCCATCTGCTTTCTACAGGGGGCCCTAAGGAGAGGCTATTGCTGCCCCAGTGAGACTAGCCCATCTGGTTCTCAGTGAGTTAGGGACTCACTTCAGACAGGCGGCACCTGCTCCAGGAGAGCCCTCAGCTCCTCCTCCTTATTCCTGAGGGAATTATGTGCTAAAAAAGTAACATTTTTTAATTCAGCAAAATTTATTTATCAATAAATGTGGAGACAAGCATGGCAGTGGGGAGCATAGGCCACTGGCTTCATGCAGGTGAGAGATCACCTGCAGCCCACCCCACACCGAGAACAGGGACTCAGTGGTGAGGCTGCACCCGACCCTCACACAGCACAAGGGCTGGGCCTGCCCCAGAAACACCCTGCTCCTCTGTGTCAGGTGCACCGGCTGTGGACAGGCAGGCTCAGCCCAGCGGGATCCAAGTGTGGAGGGGCTTAGTGTGGGGGGATCCAGGTCTGAGGTGAGAGGGTTCTGTGTGGGGGTAATCTGGGTGGGGGCAGCTCAGTGGGGACTCTGGATGGACAGGGGCTCATTGGGGCAGGGAGTTCTGGGTTCAGGGGCAATGGGACTCTGCAAAGGGATCCAGGTGAAGGTGGTTAGGGCTCAGCAGAGGAGGTCTGGTGTGGGGGGGGATCAGTGGTGTGTAGGTGCAGCTGATTGGGGCTCAGGGGTAGGTATCTGGGTGTGGGGGGCTCATCAGCATGGTCCAGGTGCAGGGTGGGTTGGGTTCATTGGGGTGGGAGTTTGAGGGGCCTGCTTAATGGAGCCCCTGCTGCTGAGGGGACACCGCATGCTGGTTCCCGCTTCTCCCCCTATTCCACTACCTCTTCTGCCCCATCCCCTTCCTTGCCCCTCACTCCTACATCCCCCTGTCCGTCCAATCCCATCTGGCTTCCTTCCCTACTGCCTCTTCCCCTCACGCACCACGGCCACTCACCCTTGTACAGAAAACAGGATAGAAGGGGAGCCTAACAAGCACTAGGACCCAAGAGGCAGCATCCAGCTGCAGAGTCCATCTTTTTAATCTCGCCTCATAATGCTGTTCCATACCATTAATCATGTGTGTTGTACCTTTTCCAATCCTAATGCATCTTTTTTGAGATGAGGCAACCAGTACTGCACCATATTCAAGGTGTATGAATACCATGGATTTAATATATTGTCATATTTACGGTCTTATTTATCCATTTCCTAATGGTGCCTAACATTTTTGACTACTGCTGCTGTTTTCAGAGAATTATCCACTATGACTCTAAGATCTCTTTCTTGATTGGTAACAGCTAATTTGGACACCATCATTTTGTATGTATAGCACTTAACAGTGAATTCCATCTGCCTTTTTTTGCCCAGTCACCCAGTGTTGTGAGATCTCTTTGTAACTCTTCACTGTCAGCTTTGGTCTTCACTATCTTGAGCAATTTTGTATTGTTTGCAAATTTTGCCACCTGTTTACCCTTTCCTAGATGATTTATCAAGCTGTTGATCACCACTGGTCTCAGTATATATCCCTGAGGGATACCACTCTTTCCCTTTCTACATTTTGAAAATGACCATTTATCCAAACCTTTGGTTCCTGTGTTAACCAGTTACTGATTCATGAGAGGACCTTCCTTCTTACCCCAAAATTGTTACTGTAGTTCCAGGACATTAGTAGCTATGCTGCCATGAATGATTATGTGTTTTAAATATATGCACTGAAGGATACTTCAATATGAAGTTGTGTAAAAATATCAATAAATTATAGAAACAAGTGTGTGAAAACATTTAATAAAGGATCTCTACATGCAAAGACAAGCTGTCACCAAAGACAGTACATATCTTACTGTAATTCCACAAAGTGAGCTGAAAATCTTAACATTTAAGAAGATAAAATGAGGTAGTTAATGATACCAATGCACTCTGCACTGAAACTAAGTACTTTAGTTGTCCTTTAACATGTGGAAGTTAATTTTCTTCACTGGATGCTTTATTGATGGAAGATTCTCTCTCATTCAATTTACAGATAAATGCATATGTGTAGTGATACACATTGCTAGATTGACTACAATATACAGTACCAGAATCTTTCCAAAAATTCTATATAATATTGTAATTAAAGTGGAAGACAAGACTACTGGTAAGAAAAGGTATACAAAGCAAACTAGT